CAGGAAATAGGATTAGGAAAGCTCAAAGTCCTCTTCCAACATGTGTTGAAGGAGATATCTCACTAAGAGATGCCTTTGCTCTACTAGAAAAAAATAGATTTTACCAAAAATAGATGGCATACAAACACAACTCATTTAAATGATTGTTACTCCTCTGAATGCCACAAGCACTATTAGTAAAATAACAGAGCTGCATATTACACAGGGACAATGCAAAATTATTACTCCTGACAAGATAAATAAATTATTAGTTCTGTCTAAAAACTAAGTTTTTTGTTTCTGTGGGCCCGGTGTGTGGGTTTTTATTTTTTATTTTTTTTTTTTGTGGTGGTTTTTTAATTTAAAATTTAAAAAAAAAAATAAAAAATAAAAACCCACACACCGGGCCCACAGAAACAAAAAACTTAGTTTTTAGACAGAACTAATAATTTATTTATCTTGTCAGGAGTAATAATTTTGCATTGTCCCTGTGTAATATGCAGCTCTGTTATTTTACTAATAGTGCTTGTGGCATTCAGAGGAGTAACAATCATTTAAATGAGTTGTGTTTGTATGCCATCTATTTTTGGTAAAATCTATTTTTTTCTAGTAGAGCAAAGGCATCTCTTAGTGAGATATCTCCTTCAACACATGTTGGAAGAGGACTTTGAGCTTTCCTAATCCTATTTCCTGTGGGAGGGGACCCATCCTGAGTTCCCTCTGTCTTGTTCTGGGGACAGACGTGTATGAGAGTTTCACCTTCTATTCATATTCCAGTAGCTAGTTATTTTTCGTTATTTATTTGGGGGGGGGGGGTTATTTCCTTAGCTCTACATCTTCCTGTAGTTACTTTTACACCTACTGCACTTAAGACTCCCTTAGTGGACATGTGGCAGTGCTGCTTTCAGAGGTCATAGTGAATGGAGGTGGGGTGAGATCTGGAAGCACCCAGAATAAAAGAACAGATACTGCAGCATATAACCTGGGCTTTTGTAATGTGGACTAACTCATCCCTGTTGAATATAGAAAACTTAGGGCATGAATAAGCTAGCAAAGGCTGCCTTCAATCCAAAAGCTAGCTTAGACATCATACAGTAGTTCTTAGCTAGAGGCATGGTAGCCAACATGGACACTAAGAGACAGCTCTGCCTGAAAAATTGGCATGTGGACTTGAAGTCAATATTAGTGTCAGTTCAAGAGTGGAAAACTCTTTAAGAGAACCCCTAATAGAGAGTAAAGACAAAGATCCAGGCAGTTGGAATCTCAAGTCCAATATATTCAAACAAGCAACTTTAAACTTTGAGAGACCAGTGAGGGATTTCTTGGCAGCACCTGTCAGTTGCAGCATGAAGCACTTCATCTCACATTTCCCAACCCAGAGAGCAGGGGCCACAAATACTTTAAAAATGGCCACTCTTCTGATGATTTACTCTGTGTTCTCTCTGTTCCTACTAATTCACAGACTTCTGTGATTGGTGTGAAACCAGAGAGTAGTAATAATAGTGTCCCCAGCTGGCCCAGAAGTCTCTGGTATTCTGAATTAATCAGCCTCTCAGCATTCTGCTTCATGCAGCATTTCCTAATCTTGGCAATTTCCAGGTGTGTGGACTTGAACTCCCAGAATTCTCCTCAGTGGCTAAAGGAAGTTTCAGTCACCTGTGTCCTATCTGATTACAGCTATATACCTGGAGATTGATTGACCCATATTCACAATAAAGGACTCATAATAGAATCAGCTTAGTTAAACCACTGTTAGATATTATTCATCATAGGTTTTCATGTCTCATTAGAGTCCTTACATTATCTGTAGAATACCTAACACGGAAAGTGGCATTTCTAATAGCTACAATGCAGCTCAACAGATTCTAGAAATAGGAAAGTCCTGTACCAAAAAGGAGTTCTGTATCATTGATCCAGACAGAATAAAAGCAGACTCCATCTTTATTCCAAAGGTATACTGTAGTTTTCCACCATGGCCAAGAAGTGATCTTCCCTTCCTTCAACCACAAACCCAACTTGAAATAGAATGGCACAAATTGGGTGTCTTTTGAGCTATCATGAGTAGAACAGAATTCCCAGCATCAGCCTGTTTCCTGCTCTCTTTCTTATAAGCTAACCTGGGCCACCAAATTTCACCAGCCATGGTATCCTAATGGATTAAAGCATGCATTAGGGACAGAATAATTTTGTCCTACAGGGAATTGTTTTCCATTTCTTTGTCTTCTCCTCTATGTAATTCATATGCTTCACCTGAGAATGCCCTGACTCCACTGTAGGGAAATGTACTTGCCTTGAAAGACTGTTTTCTACAACAGAAATAGAGCAATCATAAAAAAATACAGTATCTTCAATCTATGTACATAGTTTACCCCTTTTACTTTTCTCAAGTATTTTGTTTTGAGTTCTTTTTCTGGATTGTCATTCTGGAACTAAAGAAAGGGGCTATCACCTCCCAGAGAATGTAGGATTGGAAAAAAATTTAAAACCTTACCTTCAAAGATATTAGGAGGGAAATATCCTATTTGCTATGTAGAAAATAGACGCTCTGTAAATCCAGTGTACAGGTAGTCCTCCATTAACAATGGCAATTGGGACTGGAATTGCTGTGCTAAGTGACGTGGTTATAAAGCATGATGCCACATGACTGTGCTGCTTAGCAATAGCAATTCTGGCAGTCCCAGTTGCCGTCATTAAGCGAATTACTGTGGGTCGTGCAGCAAGGACATCATGTTGCCATTTGTGACCTCCTGCTGGCTTTCCCATTGACTTTGTTTGTCAGAAGCTGGTGAAGTTTGCAAATGGTGACCACATGACCATTGGATGCTGTGATATAATCATGAGCTGTGCACCAAGCATCCAGATCACAATCATATGACCGAGGGACACTGCAACAGCTGGAACTCCAAGGACTGGTCGTACCACTCGTTCAGTGCTATCACAAGTTGAACAGTCACTCAGTGAGTGGTGGTTAAGCAAGGACTACCTGTTTATTTTAGCCTTTCAGGTTTATTCTCTAGTCATATTTGTTTTGGCTGGCATATTTTAAATAGTTACAGGCAGGAGTAGTTGTTAGTCTGGAGCAAAATAGAATGTTCCTGTAGTAATACACATTGAGCTTCTTTTAAACATGGAAGTAGTTTGATAATGCCTAAAGTCTGAACAAATATATACAAGTATAGTTGTAGAGGCACTGTGGTAGGTAGCTCAAAATGTTCAAAATGCAAGCAGTACCTGGTTTCCAACAAGGTTCCCAGCATTAATTTTACTCTCAGTAGAGGCTCCTAATTTAAAAATTAAAAGTAACAATATCTTAGTCAAGTAGGCTGTTGAAAATAAATTTCCCATTATTAATGTGAATTGTGTATATTTTTGTAGGTGCCCAGCACAGAAACATGCAACCTTTTAGTGATGAAGATGCATCAGTTGAAACTATGAGCCACTGCAGTGGCTTCAGTGATCCTGCCAGCTTTACTGAAGATGGTATGTCAGCATTTGGGCCTATATGAAAAAATGGTTCTAATATTGAACACAGCCTACCTTTGGAGATAGTTTGGGTGGGAAATATAATACAGTATTATAAGTCAGCTCATAAGCAAAGGAATCTAGGAATGATTTGCAGAGTTTAAGGGCTGTTTGCAGATTCCCTGATTGTGTGTTTGCAGCCTTTTAAGAGAATTCCAGATGTCTGTTGTTCATGGTTCTTTTGCATTTCTGTTTGAATATCCATTCATCCCAGACCCATCAGATGTGGATTTGAGAATGGGAGTGTACCTCTCTCCTCATTTCATTGTTGCAAGATGCATTGTTGAAAGCTTTTTGCAGTTTTGCTACTGGCAATATTAAAATATGGGCAGAGCCACATGGTGGAGCAAAAATAGACATTTAAGAAACAAAGGGTGAAAACTGATGGTATTGCAGAAAGTGCTGCTGGATTCAGAGAACAAAGAGTTAAATAACAGGTTAGCAGAGAGACTCGCAGAAAGTCCTTAATAAGCTTTTTCAAAGTTATTTCAACAATCAGATTGAGAAAGATTATTGAAAGTTTTTAAACTTTCTTTTGAAATGATGAAGTGCTGTCATACATATGTGCTCTGTGTTAGGATTTTGAAGGCCTTTTTTTTTTGTCTTTGGGAGAGATAATTGGAAGGTAGCTGAAAGAGAATCATCCGTAACTGCTGCCTGAATACAAATGGGGCACTGAAGAATAGTACTGAATCAAAATATTTTCCTTGGCCAGACTAAAGATCAAAATTTCTTAAAGTACAACTGTCATTTTTTGGGGGGGAAGATGCAGCAATTAAACCAGTTCTATTTTATAATACAGTCATGCTGAGATAGTGTATAGATATCCTGTTTTTTTTAACAATGGTACAACATCCACTAATATTAATTATAGACTTAGCATAAATTGAATGCAGTTTATATTCGTGCATATTTTGGCTATATTCTTGTGCACAACTATTCTGGAAGGATATTTTAAGTAAGATTTAGGAACCTAGCAAGTTTATACTGAATTGCCCATTATTTCATCATGTTCAGTATTGTCTGAGGGTAAAATGCTCATGTTTTGTAAAACATGAACAAAGGCTGAATTTAGATCTCTATCCTTTAGGATAAAATAATTTTTATAAGTTGTTTGAATGACATCAGTAATGAAGTCAGCCTTTTGCAAAAACTGGGTGCATGTCTTGTGTAATGATTAATCTGTCATTAATGGAACATAGACAAAATCTGTGATGAACGACTGGCCAGATAGAATTGGAGAAAGGACAGAGATAAATTACACTCAGTCAAACTTTATGATCAATTTGGTACTATAGTTTTGAGACGTTTAGATGTTAATGGTTTTTTGTCATGTAATTTATAGGACCTGAAGTTGATGAGGAAGCGACCCAAGAAGACCTGGAGTACAAACTAAAGGGATTAATTGACTTGACTTTGGACAAGAGGTAGGGGAGGCCTGAGAAGTAGGCTTGAGTAACTTTTTAGTGTATGAGTTTGAGGTCATGGTAGTTTTGTTATGACGTATCCCCAAGGTCCCTACTGCTCAAATCATGTATAAGACTATGTCTTTGCAGCTGTTGACAAATAACTTCCATGCTACCATTTTTGCCAGCAATTTTAGCTTTTAGTATTGTTGTAAGTGTGCTTAGTTTAAATTTATACTTCAGTTACTTCCCAAAAGATTTACTGCTTTCCCCTTGTTGTTGTTGTTATTTCTCTTTGAAGTTTTGGGATAGGAATCTGGAATTTTCCTTGGGCTTATAAGAAAGGAAAAGTGCTGTGGGGGCAAAATACATAAGCTTTACGAAAAGTTTGTCTCTTGGGGATGCATTTGATACTTTTCAGTCACCGTAGAACAGAGATTAAGTAGTTGAGGCAGCTATCACAACTGGAACTAACTGGGAGTTTTGATAAGAATTTTTCAAATCTTAATATTGCAAACTTCAGTTTTAACTTAGTATCTGTGTCATTTATGGTAATATGCTTTTTATAAATATGCAGGAAAGGAATCTAAAACAGGATTGTGTAAATTTTATCACTGATACTTTACCATGAATTCCTGCATTTTATTTCAAAAGTACAAAGACGAGACAGTCCGCTCTTGATGGTCTTAAAAGTGCTTTGACATCAAAAATGCTATATGAGTTCATCCTGGAAAGGAGAATGACGCTCACAGACAGTATTGAACGTTGTATCAAGAAAGGTAACACCATTCTATATCTTTCTGAGAAATAGTAGTATTCTGTTATCCAGGTCAGTTGCTTTCAAATATATTCTATCATGATTTCTTACTGATTTTCTTTGTAGGCAAGGGTGATGAACAGCGTGCAGCTGCAGGACTGGCTTGTTTGCTCTGTGTACAGTTGGGCTCAGGAATTGAAAGTGAGGAAGTTTTTAAAACCCTTGCACCTCTTCTGAAGAAAATACTCTGTGATGTCTCAGCAAGTACGCAAGCTAGGCAAGCTGTAAGTATATAGAAGCTTGTTATTGCTTGTTGATATTTCAGTAGGATTCTAAGGAGTCAACATACTTGTTACCTAGTCTAAAATATTCAAAGAACAAGGGCCTGTCATCTTTGTTGCAAGTCTGTTGACTATAATTATGGTTGAAAAAATTCAAAAGACTTCCTGTCAGACAGACAAACAAATTATCCATGGGAAGATTAGCGTGAGTTCAGCAAGCAAACAACCCTTGAAAGTGGAAAGTAGTAATGATCTGTAGTATACTTCCTTGAACTTTGAAATCTGGTCAAAATAATAGCCAAGATGTTGGGCTGACCTAGTAGCATTCTTAGTCTGTTGCATTTAGTGTTGCTAGTTTCTTCTAAAAACACTTGTTTACACTGTAATTCAGCATTGCTTGATTGGAAGTAAGTATACAGATAATGTTGCTGTTCTAGAATAAGTATACTGGCTTGTCTGAGGGATTGCTTCAGGTTTTTTAGATTACATAAACCAATTTTAAGCCAAATAAAACTAGATCAGCTATGGTAGACTCATAGATGTTCATCACTTACAAAAGTACTAGAAAAATCAACATGATTTTTAATTTTTTTTCCAGTCTGCCACCTGCTTAGGAGTCTGTTGCTTTATTGCTACTGATGATATCACAGTAAGATTTTTTTTTATGTTAAGTATTACTATTTAATGCTCAGTTAAATGTTCAGCTTAACAGCTTTTTATTAATTTTTGAATTAGGAATTATATTTGACTATGGAATGCTTGGAAAATATCTTCATAAAATCCTATCAGAAAGATAGAAATCCAAATGGTATTTCCAACACTCAGAACACTGGTCTTTATATAAGTGCTTTCTTGGCATGGGCCCTTCTGTTGACCATCTGCCCAATGAATGAAGTGAAGAAAAAGCTTGAAATGTACGTATAGTGTTTCCTGGCAATCATCTTTGGAATGATACATGTGATGAATAATCCTAATTATGGGTTAAGGGTAGGAGCAGCCTTATCTAAACCCCTGTTTGGTTCACATCAGCAGGGCAAAAAAGGAAGGAGGAGTGCCATTTTTCTTCCTTTTCCTTATTTTAATGTTTTCCCTGCTTTGGGTTGCAATTGTTATGCCAAGTAGGGATGTTTGGGGGAAATGGGAAGGTTTAGTATTACAAAGATTGTGATATATGAATAGAATGCCCCCTTTTGGTTTCCACCAGTGCAGGGATTCTGATATGTAAGAGAAAGAGAGACTGCAGAAATTCTAGTTTGGAAGGTCTAACCTTTCTCTTTACTCTTACAAGCAAATCAAAATACAGTGGTACCTCGGGATACGAACTTAATCCGTTCCATGACTCTGGGCGTATTCCGAGTTGGTCGTAACCCGACGCAAATTTCCCCATAGGGTTCAATGTAAATCCGGTTAATCCGTTCTGCTCTCCGAATTTGGTTGCACCCCAAAGCAAATTTTCCCATAAGGTTCAATGTAAATATCGTTAATCCGTTCTGGCGTCCGCGGACCACGCGTCGGGCGGGAAAACGGCTGGGCATGGCGGGAAAACGGCTGGGCGCGGTGCGGCGGGAAAACGTCCAGGCGTGGTGTGGCGGGAAAACGGCCGGGCGCGGTGCGGCGGAAAAACGTCCAGGCGCGGCGGGAAAACGGCCGGGCGCGGCGCAGCAGGAAAATGGCCGCGGGCCACGTGTCAGGGGCGGGAAAATGGCCGTGGACCACGTGTCGGACAGGAAAATGGCCGCGGACCACGTGTCGGACAGGAAAATGGCCGCGGACCACGTGTCGGACAGGAAAATGGCCGCGGACCACGTGTCGGACAGGAAAATGGCCGCGGACCACGTGTCGGACAGGAAAATGGCCGCGGACCACGTGGCAGGGCGGAAAAATGCCCGTACCCCGAGGCGGAGGTCGCACATCGAGGTAAATTTTTGCGGCCGGAGCTGGTCGTAACCCGAAAAGTTGGTTAGTAGAGGCGTTCGTATCCCGAGGTACCACTGTATGTGAGGGCCCTTGGAATGTAATCCTATGGACCATAACACTGTATCTTAGATCTGCTTTATTGTATTCAATGTATTTATCATAGCTATTCTTGATTTTCCTAGGCATTTGCATAAATTTCCTATCCTGCTATCCTGTGATGATGTAAACATGAGGATCGCTGCTGGGGAAACATTGGCTCTTTTATTTGAACTTGCAAGAGAATCTGATGAGGTATAGCCAAAGAAACAGTCAGAAAGATAGGAGAGATAGTTAATATTTAGAATGGTGCTTTTATAGTATTACCGTAGCACTTGATTTGTTCAGATGGGAAAATGATAGGGGTGGTAAACCTATGACTTAACAGGTGGCGTTGAATTATAACAGTAATACTGATAGCGAAGGATTCTGAGAAATCTTCAGCAACATTTGGAGAGCTACAGGTTTCTCCATCTATGTATATGTTCACTCTTAATGAAAGCATGTTAAATTCCACCCATGTAGATCACCGAGCTCAAATTCAGCATATGAATAGCTCATTTAGTAGCAATCAGTGATACACAAAATGATTAGAATCCTATTACAATGACTTGCAATCCTTCTTAGTTACAATCTCTTAAATACGTTAAATGCACATTTGTGTTCTGTTTAGTGCTAACAGTAAACCGAGTCATAAACATCTGAAAGTTTTAAATCCCTTAAATTATAGAGTTTTAGATGTCAATAATTTTATTAGATTTAAGTATTTTTATATTAATACCTTTACTGTTTTCTTTAGTCTCAGCTTATTCATGTGCCTGTCTTGGGAAGGTAGCTAGAAAAACTCTTGGCAACATAGGATAAGAGAAAAAGAATAAAGGAGCCAAGACAGCCATTCTGTTGCATGATTTTTAAATATTACTCTGATTTATGCAATTGAAACCTGCAGTTTCAGGCTGAGCTGTGGCAATTTAATTTTGAAAAGAATAATGAACATGCAAACCTTTAATCCTTTACAGTAGTATCTGACTTAGTGGAAAATGATCTTAACATTTTTTTATACATGGTTGTCATTGTTCTTGCTTAAATAACAGGTCTTCCTTTGCATACTTATAGATTAAATACTAGACAGCGTACAGCTGTAAGTTTCCCCTATTAATCATAGACACAGTGATAGAGGAAATTTACACATAATATGTGATAAATGACAAGTGAAGGTGAATGAGATGTGATACAACAGAAGGGAGCAAATATTTGGCACTGAATCATTTATATCCATGGTAGGGGAAGAAAAGGCATGGGACAGACATCTGTTTCAGCAGCAATTATTTATTTATTTATTATTAATTTAGTATCTGTTTAACCAGAGTTCTTGAATCAGTTTTCTAATGCAAATGCCATTTATTTGAAACCATTTATATTAGATCAATGGAATGTAAACCACAGTTAGCTTATACGAATACATATTATAACTTTAGACTGCTTCTCCTAAACTTCAGGTTTTGGAAATGGGTGGAATTAAAATACTTAACTTTCAGAAATCACATTCTACTTGGAAAGAGGGCTCAAAGGAGAGTATGTGCATTGCTAGCAGTCCTTTCAATATTGTGATAAGGTGATCTTACTAGTTAAATGTAAGTGATAACCTGTTGTGTTGTAGCTTAATTATTAAACAATAAAGCATATAATTATGACATAATATGGAAGTTCAGTGCTGGGTTTTTGAAACTTGATCATGCTTCTATTAAGATACAACAAATTACTTTTACATTTCTTTATCTAGGATTTTTTTTATGAGGATATGGAGCTTCTAACACAGAAATTGAAGGCTCTAGCTACAGATGGAAATAAGCATCGTGCTAAAGTAGACAAAAGGAAACAGCGATCTGTCTTCAGGGATGTCTTACGAGCTATAGAGGTAAACCAAAACAATACATTTTACTCACTTTACCACTTGAAAATAATCAAGTAATTTTAAGAGCAGATTACTTTATACAGTTGCATGCAGAGATTTTAGACTCCCTGCTCAAATTCTGTTTCAGTGAATACCTAAACAAACAAGCAGAGAGGTACAAAACTAAATACAACATATTTCTGTAAATCTGAATGCAAATTTGTACTTGTTCACATATTGAACATTAAAAAATGGTAAATATAGCAGGTACGTAAGTTTGGATTTATTTCATTTAGTACTCTGTAATACCTCCTTTGTTTTCCTGACATTTCCTGCAGCCAGCTAAGAGCATTTTTAATCTTGCTTTTGGGATGTTTTGCCACACTTGCAAAACTTTTCTAGCTCAGAAATATTTTTAGTTTTCCTTTCATGTGTTACATATTTGAAATTTCCTCATAGATTTGCATAATATTCAAGTCTGGTTATTGTGAAAACCATTCCAAAACATTTACCTTTCTTTCCTGTAAGTACTTCACAATTCATTTGGAGGTGTGAAATATCCATCCTCTTTTCAGCTTCATTTTCTGCACTGACTGGGACATTAGTTTCTAAAGCATGTTGATACTTAGCTGAATTTATGAGCACTGTTTTGTAGATATAAGTTTTAGGAGTGAGTTTTCTTGGACTTAGCTTGACATCAATGGTTCTATGGAACTTCCAGTTCTTAACAGTGTTTCTTAATAGTTGTAATTGCTAGCTGGAAGCATTTAGAAAGGTTTTTTTATAATGGTTTTACTCTGCTCAGTAAGAATGAAGCTTCTGTTCTTTTAGAATTCATTGGAACATACAATTTGATATGGGTGCCTAACTTCTAGCATGCTATTATATGATGCTTTACAGTGCCAAGATATGCATTTGGTAAACATGTCTTATTCACATTTTGTATTACTAGTAGCATCCATCTGTATTTTTTAATGCTGAGCAGTTGCATTATATAGGAAACAAAAACTTGTACTATGACGTGTCTTTTGTGAGAGATGATACTTACCTAAACAGCAGACTGTTTTCATTAGACAAGCTATCAATAACAACTGAATTGACTTTTCAAGTCTTAAATTCTTGTTTTAAGCACTGAATTTCAGAATATTCTTAGTATTAACCTTTTTGAAGTAAGTTTTAGCTTAATTTTTTTAAAATGTGACAGTACAGATGTTTAGGATGAACAAGAAGAGTGCAATTTTCAGCAGTATTTAGGAAGTTTTGTGCATCTCTGTAGTTGGCAAAGAGTCTAGGGATAACACCTGTTGTAGCCCAAAATATTAGAAGGGCATTCAAGGAAGGATGGCATAGAATTTAAAAACAGTGAAGTTGATAATGGTGTTTGTTCTTTAACAGGAACATGATTTTCCCACAGAGACCGTGAAGTTTGGACCAGAGCGCATGTACATTGACTGCTGGGTTAAAAAACAAACATATGATACTTTCAAAGAAATTTTAGGATCAGGAATGCAGTATCATTTACAGGTATATGTTGAAATGAAAATATTTTGGTGCCCTCTTGAGTCTACTCTAACTAGCACAATGCAAAAACCACTTTTTAAATTAATTCTAGACTATACACATCTGCATAATAAGGGAAGAAAGAAATCACTTCGATTCCATTTTTGTAGGAAATAGATAATAATTTTTTAACAATAGAGGCAGCTCTATGATTACTTTGGGAATTCTGCATATTAAATGGCAGTCATTTAAAAACTTGATCAAACATTTGCACAATTGTAATGACTACATGTTTTATGCAGTCCAATGAGCTCCTCCGGAATATCTTTGAACTTGGTCCGCCACTCATGCTTGATGAGGCAACTCTTAAGACCATGAAGATAACCCGTTTTGAAAGGGTAAGTGACTCATACTCTGTTGGTTTGAATTATCTGGTTTATCTGTTAGATGCTATTTGAGTTATCTGTACAGTTTGCTCAGAATTGATCAATGCTACGTTCCTCGGCATAATGGGTATATTTATGTTGTGGGAAGAGGGAGAGGAAGCAGTGGGAATGGAAGGAAGAAATGACATAGGTTTGTGTGACCTGATAAATTGCAGATTTGTGCTTCTGCTTGTACTGATCACTTCTACAACATCCCCCCCCCCCACACACACACACTTGCTTTTGGCTAAAGAGTTGGGTTCAAGTTAAAGGAACGCTAAGGTACGCCTTGGAATGATCTAGTATAGTACTATGTTCCTTTTGTAAGATATTCCATTGCCTGTGTTATGACTGAAGTGGTACTCTCTTGCATCCCTTAATTTACTGACATTTGGGAAAATGTGAAAGGTGTCAGAATATGAGCTTAAAGACTAGATCAAAGCTGCCATCATTAACAGCCAGATTTTAACTTCAGTAATACTGTATGAAGAAAGAAGTGTGTTGTATTAATGTTTCAATACTGTTTGTTTATTTAAAAGACTTAATATGGCTGCCCATCTCATGATTCTTGGCAGTAACACCAACTTAATAGATCAACAATAACACAGTTTAAATGGTACAGTGGGTAACATTTGGTAAAATCTCAGATGTCAGTGGAAAGGTTGAGCTATATTTCCAGTGTACATTTTGGATGATTCAAAGTCTGGTACTGTGGTCACACAGTTCATTTGGAATGCAGTTGGATTTGGTTAGTACTTGGATTTGAAATAATTAGGAAATTTTGGAGTGGTAGGCTATGTGGGAATTCAAAAAATAAAAACATTCTAGAAATAAGGGAATGGCATTGCTGCCGAGGAGACTGCAGATTGACTTGAAAGCCGCCTTATTTTTACCATGTAGTTGTTGGCATGACAGATTTATGTTGTCAACAATGTCTCCACATGTTTTCCAAGTGCCCCTCTTGCATATAGAACATTTGTCAGCTGGGATGTCTCGGTAACAAATATTCTAATGTTTTTGCTTTAGTTTAGGACTACTGAATGACATGTGTTAGAATTTAGTACAGAAAATAAGGCAAACTTAAAGTGAAGTTGGGAGGGGGGTATAATTCTACCTTAGAATAAAAAATTCTAATTCGTATTAATTAATGCCTGATATGCTAAGATTAGTCTGTTGAAGAAACCCCAAAGTTATCAGAAGAGTATTTAATCCTGACTAAGATTGTTGCGATATATAATTGTACTTTCTCTTCTGTTTTCATAGCATCTGTACAACTCTGCAGCGTTCAAAGCTCGGACAAAGGCTCGAAGCAAATGCCGTGATAAAAGAGCAGATGTGGGTGAAGTGTTCTAGAACAAGTCTTCAAAGCCCTTGAACATTTTTTTTGTTAAATCTAGTTCTTGTTTAAATATAATTAATTGCAGTGTTCAGAGTTAAATAATCCTTTTTAATTGTATCAATTGCACATTGCAATACAGTACTTGATATGTGTTAACTGGCTAGATGAATATATAGTGTAGGTGAGACTGTAGAATGGTAGAGAATTTCCTGATAACTATGATGGGTAAAAATCAACTTTTGATTTGGAATAATTCTTAACAATATTCAAAGTCACACAGTGCTGAGGACACTCCTGATTCAGCTTTTTATTTTTAGTAATCTAATGAAATAAGTTACGGGTCTTAAGAATATTCTTTGAGGGTGAATGTCCTTCTGTAAAAACAGCTATTTTACAATCAAACATTTTAAAAGTAAATATCCAATTTATTACAGTGACATTAGCATACTAGGCAGGACTGTCAAATTCAGTTGACAGCACTAATGATGAAGTAGCACACAAATATTTAAATGTTACTTATATGCTGAAACTTAGGTAATAAAATATTTATCTGAATTTTTGCATGAAATGTGTATGAATAATGACTTTATCAAAACATATTCAAATATAAAAATATTGTTCTGGCTTTTGTCATTGTCTTCATTCAGTACTTCAGTCATAGTCAAATACACTCCACAAAATTCTACTTAGCTAGCCATTGGTAGTATGGTTCATATCAGTATCTGCTGGAAGGGTAGGTCCTATGGATTGTGACTAGTTAACTATTTTATTCTGTATACATAGTTACTGAATAAATGGTTCATCCATGCTGATTGGTAATAGCATGCATGAAATGGAAAAGTGTTTTTTTCGTAACAAAATAGTGCCACCTGAAATCTTTTGTTGGAACATTCTGAATTGATGGTTTCCCTGAGGGACAACATCTGCAATGCCTTACAAGTTCCATATGGAATATAGGTCTAAATGTTTCTGGGTATAGGAACAGTGAGAACTCAGAAAAAATCCCTTGTTGCTTGATTTTATCCCAGGGCTGCAAAAATAGAGCAGTGCTATCTGCCACTTAACCTATAGAAAAATTGGCCTGGGGAAGATTTTTTTAAAAAAACCCAAAACCATTAAATGTTTTAGGAAAGCTTGCCTAACAGACACGGATTTGCCTAACAATCGATCAGTTACTCCTTTTCTGGACTTTTGTGCTTATTTGTACTATAGTTGGCTACAAAAAAGTATTACATTAATAGCATCAGCAAAAAAAGGCATATCACATTAACACCATTTTGGTTGCTAGCTAACAAAAGCACCATGGTAGCATGTTTAGAAACTCGACACAACAGGATAAGCAGTGGCTGTTGTAACCAAACTACAGCTCAACAGATTACCAGCAGAATCTTGGCGTTTACAATTTACAGCCTGAAAATTTGTATAATGTACACATATAACTTTTGCATTTCCCAAAAACTTTGCCTCCAGCAAAAGAAGGCCAATACTAGCCTGAACTTTGACTTTCCTGTGGCATACCTATGAGGTATAGAAATTTGCACCTTGGAATTTTACAGGACTACATAGTAAAGGATATGACTTAAACAAAATGGAAGAAAAATAGCAATTGTGTTTGTGAAACCAAAGGAAAGATCTGAATGAATGTGATCTGATACAGTGGAATAGATTTGAATGCATGCTTTGAAGTAAAGATGTAGGCTTAATTACAAATGAAAGAGCTAAAATGTCAATGTATGAATTGGTGTCATCTAGATTGTTCTTGGTGTGCATGAAAGTAGGAATTCATATACTGGAGATAATTGCATTTTATGTTCCAGTGAGGATGAAGGAATGCAGTATGTTAGGGAACAGGAATGGATAGGTGGGAATAAGACAAAAGAGGACAAGAAAAGTGATTAGGCCATTTGGAGACATAAGAATTAATGTGAATGTGAATGTGATTAGTGAATATCTCCTTAGAAAAAGTTCTGTTTTGAACACATGACTTCTGTATGTCTATTTGTGTATCCTCACTGCAAAGGAATAATTCTAAAAGCATAATTGATTTGATTTTTATGATGAAAGATTGAGAGAATTAGTGAAGGATGCAAGGTGGTGAAAGTGAGCCAGGCCCTTATTTGGTAATGTCAAGAGTGGATCTTAAACAGACAATGAAGAAAAAGTGAAAATCTAGTGCAAAAGTAGAATAACTACAGCAAGAAAAAGTACTAGAACAGTTTGGAGAAGTTTTAGAAAGCAGATTAATTTCTCAACAGAAAGAGTGGACATAAAGATAGTGTTGAAACTGCATGGAAGTGAGAGAAAATTACCTTACAAAGTGCCAGAAAAGTGCGTAGAGTTACCCTAATGGGAGGTATGGAAAAAGTATGTGGTGGAAAGATAAACAGAGGCTGGATAAGCAAGGAATGTTTAAAAAGGCAAATATATATATACAGAGCTGTTTTGAGGGAAACTATTTTTGGAAGCCTGTTATGGCATAGGGCCCAGTTACTGGAGGGACCCCCTATCTCCCATGGCCTCTGACCATCCAGTAAGCTCAGGCAGAGTTGGGTCATCTCAAGTCCCTTTGATCAAACAATGCCACCTACTGGGACCCAGCAGGCTTGCCTTAGCTGTTGCACTACCTGCTCTCTGGAAAGATTTCCTCCTAGAGATCCATTTAGTCCCCCCCCCCCCCCGGGAAA